GAATAGAATAGAATATCATTTATTCAAATAAACTTACATTCAAGCACTTTTGAAAAGTCATTACATTTTTTTTAATTTACCGCTCGTTCGGAAAGCTGTCTCATCACAAGAAGAACGAGCAAGAAACTTGCGTGATGCTCTTTTAAATAATTTTATTATTATTTTACATTTTTAAGTTATATTGTGTGAATACAAACCACCAATTAGCACTAATTCAATTAACTCAAAAAGAAAAAAAAAATTGAATACATAACCAACTGGTTAAACAATTAATAAGAGGAAATCAGTCATAGTGATTAGAGCAGACCAGTCCCTACAAGCAGCACCCGTTCACGAGTATGACGGATGAGCCAGCCATCACTGCGCTCGACCATATTTTAGGGAGCCCAATGACCCGGCCCACCACGCCGCCACAAGTTTGGACATTTTAGTGAGCATGACTACTCAAAACACTAGACCACGTCAAAGCTACTCACAATTGCCATCTGATAGTTATAGTATTCACATTTTACATAAGAATGCATGCGGCAATTAATACAAAAAACCGCTACGCTTTCATATTTCTAAAATTAATCAATTAAATCAAGAAAGCAATGAGAAAATAAAATTATAACGTTGTATGCTAATAAACTAATTATTTACTTGATATGTTGTCATCTATGAATTCGTCTATCCTGTAATAGGCTTTCTTACATAAAAATTGTTTAATATAAGATTTGAATTGCCTCTCTGTCAGATTTAATGCAGATTCCGGCAGTTTATTATAAAATCTTATGCAATTACCATAGAATGAATTACTGATTTTGTGCAGACGGCATTTAGGTAAAATAAGCTTATTTATATTGCGTAAGTTTCTACTTGTACAGTCTTTGAGTTTTTTAAAACTCGCTAAGTTCTTCCGTGTATACATAATATTTTCATAAATGTATTGTGAAGTAACTGTGAGGATATTTGAGTCTTTAAAGCACTGACGTAATGACTCTCTCGAACCCATACCATAAATAGAACGTATGGCTCTCTTTTGTAAAACAAATATAGTATTTATATCGGCTGCTTTACCCCACAGCAGTATGCCATAAGACATTATGCTATGGAAATAACTAAAATATACAAGTTTAGCCGTCGCCACGTCTGTTAATTGCCTAATTCTTCTAATTGCATATGCAGCAGAACTGAGTCTACTGGCCAATTTTGAAATATGGGGCCCCCATTGTAATTTCGAGTCCACTGTTATACCTAAAAAAACTGTATCATTAACAAAATTTACTATTTCGTCATTAAGCAATAACTGTGTATTTATTAGTCTTACATTAGGAAGTGTAAATTTTATACACTTTGTTTTGCTGGAATTTAATAATAGGTTATTACATGTAAACCAATTTAATATTGCAGACATAGCACAATTTACATCGTCTAATTGATTACTTTGACGTCCAATTTTAAACACTAACGAAGTATCATCCGCAAACAGCACTATATCTGCAATTTTCTCTACCATAAAGGGAAGGTCATTTATGTAGATTAAAAAGAGAAAGGGGCCTAAGATTGACCCTTGTGGAACGCCCATCTTAATATTAGCTCCCTTAGATTTTACACCGTCAATATCTACAGTTTGAACCCTATCCTCTAAATAAGTTCTCATTAATTTTAGATCATTATCTCTTATACCATAATGTTCGAGCTTGTACAAAAGCGTTTTATGATCCACACAATCAAATGCCTTTGATAGGTCACAAAAAACTCCGAGTGCATCCTGTGACCTCTCCCAAGATTCGAAAATATGTGTCATTAGCGCAACACCTGCGTCAGTGGTAGACTTGCCGGCGGTGAAACCATATTGCTGACTGTGAAGCAGTCCGTTAACCCTGAAGTGATGTAACATTTGATTTAACATTATCTTTTCAAACACCTTACTTAGAACTGGCAAAATAGATATAGGTCTATAGTTCCCTGGCTCAAATTTATCTCCTGATTTAAATAGTGGGATTAATTTGCTAAATTTCATTAAATGTGGAAAAACGCCATTATCAATACATTTATTAAAAATAGTGGCTAGATATGGAGCAACAATATCTATGAAAGAACTAACTACTTTTACAGACATGCCCCAAAGGTCTTCCGTATTTTTTAAATTTAGCTGTTTGAATATTTTTATGATATGAAAGGGGCTAACATGTGAAAATTTAAATCTTAAAGAACAACAACCGATATTAGTCTCTAGTAATTTTTTTGCTCGAGATTGAGATGAGTCCAGAGAAGATGTAATATCAATCGGAATATTAGCAAAAAAATCTTCAAAAATATTAACTACATCTTTTGTTGTTGATATTAATTTATTATCATAATTTAATGTAAATTGATTACAGGCTATTTTAGATCTTCCAGTTTCTTTATTTATAATGCTCCAGATGGTTTTAATTTTGTCAGAAGACTGCTTAATTTGTTTATTAAAATAATTAGACTTAGCCATAATACAAACTTTTTTAAAAATTTTAGAATAATTTTTTACATAAGTGGTGAATTTGTCATCAAATCGATATTTTTTTTGATCGTATAAATCAAACAAAATATTTCTACTTTTAAGTATTCCTACTGTTGCCCATTCCGTGAATTTAGATTTAACATGAACTTCTTTTTTCTTGAAAAATTGTTCATATTCTCCGGATAAAATATTAATTAGCTTGGTGTAAAGATAATCAGGATTATTACTAGATTGTAACAGCAAATCCAATTTATTTTTAATCGCGCTTTTGTATTTATTAATATTGTAAACATTTATTTGTCTTTTTGATTTTTTATTATTGTTGACTTTATTGATTTGACTGCTAAACTTAACAACTTGACCACAGTGATCTGAAGGAAGTTTATTTATTATGAATTTTTCTGTATACTCGCAGTTACAAAAAACATTGTCAAGACAAGTAGCAGACGTGGCAGTTACACGAGTGGGTTCATGAAAGACATGACATAAATCAAATGACTGAAATAAACTAATAATTTTTGTACATGTGGGTGTGTTACAAAGAATATCAACGTTAAAATCTCCACATACAATAATTTTTTTAATACTATTAAATACTTTTTTTAAAATATCCTCCATCACCCCTTCAAAAACATTGTAATCACTATTAGGAGGCCTGTACACACATATAAGGATATAATTTTCTAGTTCTATACAAGATAATTCTATACAACACTCAATAGAAAGTCTAACAATGTCAGCACGTTCCTTTACTTTAATATTATTTCTTGCAATTATCATAGACCCGCCTCTGTTAACTGACTTTCTATTGAAGCAGCTGACTACGTTATAATTATTTAAATTGAACATCATATTGCTTTCTTTAAGCCAATGTTCTGTGAAACAGACAATATCAATATTATACTTTTCTAAAAATAATTGTATAATTAACTCGCTGCCAGGAAAACTTTGTATGTTCTGATGAACAATTATTAATTCTGATTGCTTTCCCTTTGTCTTTGTGAGCAGTTTAAATCTGCAGTCATAGTACTTATGTCACAAATATTAATAGAATTATCTGTTATGTCAGCATTTTTATGTTTAAGTTTACCATGTAAACTGTTCATGTAGTCAATATTATAAGCCACTAAAGTGGCTATTTTATTTTTAGATGATTTAGAAAGATACATTGTATCTTTTGTCAAATAAAAATCACTAATAAAACTATTAGTATCAAAAAATGTCAAAATGTCACTATGACGACATGTCAATGTATGTAATAAGTTATTCAGGTAATGTACCTTACTGTTAATTTTTTTTATGAAGATGTCTATTTGTGTAAGGAAAAAGCGCACAATACAATCTTATACACATTTAATTGTAATAAATATTCAATTCCTTTAATTACATCCTGCCTATTTAATTGAATACTATTACCAAAAAATAACACAATTGTGGTCATATTGTTCATTTTCATAGACTTAATTTTATTTATTATTTGTGTAAATGATGCTTCTGGCATGCAGTAGTTTAATAAATCACCCTTAAGATGATACTTCAATATAGACCCAAAGTTACAGCCTATTCTGTCAGAGAACACCATTGTGCTACTCTTAGGGTTACAGTCACTGGCACAAACACCCTGAACTTCATTTTCCAGCACAGTTACAACTGAATTATTATTTTTATATGACGTAGGTGAACAATAGAAAAGAGATTTAGAAAAATCAACCCCTAAAGGGGTAAAACGTTCAAAATTCATTCGTATGAAGTCTCTAACAAATATTGGTATACTTACATTGATTCTCTATTTTCATTTAGGAGTTTCCTCTTATCGGTGCAACTAATTCATGCATATTCTTCCAGCCAGCTCTATCCCAGGCCATGTCCTTGACCTCCCTATACGACATGACACCTAGTGTTTTTTTATCTGTTCCATGTAGTTATTAAAAGGTCTTCTTCTTATACATAGATAATAATATATTATATTATTATTTTTGTTTATTGAAATAGTAATATTATACTTTACGTCATGGCCACTTATGATTAAGTATCTAGAATGATCTCAATATTAGTCATTCATTTCTAAAAAATATACGTAAAATTTAATTACTATTTTTGTAATAAAATATAATACTCATGTGTTTGTAAAATACAGTTATTTCAAAGGTTTTATTTATACAAACTTTAAGAATTTTGAGTTACCTTGTTTTTAAGAGACGAGAATAAACGCAATTAACAGTTAGATCTGTTAGTTCGTGACCCGGACCACTATAATCTGTTCGAAATATCGTAAAACCCCTAAACCAATAATTATATTTTCCCTAAATTTATTAATTAGTACAAATTTAAAAATTATATTTAATTTTAAAAGAATACAACTACATAATATGGATGTGAAAGTGAGTTTGTTAGTTTAGGTTTGGTGTTTGGTAGTCAAACAATGGGCCACAACTTTCTCAAGATTATTAAAAAAAATCTATAACCGATTTGTGTTTATAATTTCTTTTATTGATAAAATATTGTCTGTCTATTACAGAGTTTAGCTGGCCTCACAGGACTAGCGTCTTGTCACAATGGAGCTCGTTAGTTTCTGTCAGCACAGGCGCGCCCAACTGAAAGGTACGGCATACAGGCACTCATATTATAATACAACATACAAGTCATCGGGCTTACGGTACACTATACTGTGTACGAATATAAAAAAAAGAGTAAAAGGTTTCACTTCAAAAGTAAAGAAAAATACCTTTACATTTTCCTTATTAAGCACGATCCACACTAACCTTTGAGAAAGCAAGACGTAATCTAATTGAGTTCAATTCGATTCAGTCCTTTAGAGGGCTGCGATTTTACTATAAATGGACTTTAACGACGAACTGATAGTATCTTCTTAACAGAATTACCTTTCGCATCTATGGTCGTGTCACGTGCAGCTTAAGGGTGCTTTACACGTATTCGAATAATGGTGTAATGTTGTAGAACTACTGGAGTCAATAAACTGTAATATTTGACTCAATTGTGTGGGTGTAATTATTTAGCAGTTGCTTGGTAGACGACAGCGCAGTATCAGACCGCAGGAATCGGCCAACACGTGCCTCGGGAACAGAGGGATCGATACTTGTGAAATAGACTGTTTATTTTATTTTCAATAGGAAAACTTTTTTAATTTTAGCCTGTTATAGATTTAATATATGATCAAATTAAAAGAAAATAATAGTTCTTGGAATAAAAAACGCAATAAAAATCTCTATTATCCATTTGGTCATTTTTATATTCGATAGAAATAAATCCCATTTAATTGTCCAGTTTTGAAACTATGAATAAATAATTGTAAATTATACATTTCTTTTGTATTTTCTGGTCTATTTGGTAATTGTTATACTCTTTTTATTTATTTATTCTTTATTGATCACATTACAAAAAAATGTTTAGTACAAAAGGCGGACTTAATGCCATATAGCATTCTCTCCCAGTCAACTTTTGGCAAAACAAAAATGGAATTATGCGGTGCAAAATTAAAAACTATTGTAAATAGTTACAGACGTATATATATTGACTTACAAATTATATAACACTTACAACTCTTGACAGAGTTATAGTTGTTATTGCGAAGGTAGTGACGTAGCGTTGACGTAATTTTTACAGTACACATTATTTCTCTCTTACGGGGTTCTGTAGTTAAACTGCGGTAAATATTCCGTCATTTATTAAAAATGGCGGAATATTTACCGCAGTTTTAACTTCATCTATTTATTTTATATGTGTCTACCACAGGAATTTGTGGCTTCGATTTTTACTGGCACCGCGAGATGATCAGTAGATTAATTTTTACGTTGATAAATAAAAGAAAAAGGTAGACGTTGCTTGTTCCACTTTCTTCAATTATGGACTGAGGGCCTACCATGAAATATTTTCCGAAATTTCGGGCACGAACGAAACAGAAATTTGATGTTAAAATTACATAACGCATGCCGTTTAAAATTATTAAAAATGTTAAAATATCATTCCTCTGGACTATTAGGATAGGTTTTATGATGAAATGTTAAGCTTCATTTACTAGGTCGATTTTGGTATGAACAAAAACACGAAATTGAGCCCGAAAATTCGGATTTCCGTTTCATGGTAGACCACCTGGTTCGTGCAAAACAGAGTTCATGAGACTTTCAGTACTCTTCTACAGCACCATACTTTAAAATCGTCTACCTTCTGTTTATCCGTATTCTTTCCGTTTGTGTTTTGGTTGTATAAAGAATTATAGAAAAATCTCGTATATAATTACTGCAAATTTTTTTTTCTGGTTCTCAAAGTTGACTAAAAGAAATCCCTCTAAAGGTACTTGATATTGCAATCTAGTTTTTTTATTTTATATATGATAAACAATAAAACTTAAACAAACAAATAAGGTAGAGTTCGACGAATTCATTACATAATTATACATACGATTATATGTAAACAATGTCGATAAAACGTTAGACTTAATCTAGAGAAAAGATAGCTTATCGCTCTTTATTGGACTGCTGAGCGAATAGCGTGAGTAATTACGTTAATAAAGTATTAATACCTACCTTGTTCTATCACTATAGAGACTCTTTGTTAGATGATAATACGTCTCACTGTTCTATTTTAGGAGACGGCGACGTGAAACGAGGTCCGGAAACATATTTATGTCGTTTCCGTTCAAGTTATTCGTATCTTGATGAGATTTATTCATAGTATACGATGCATTTGGTTTTTTTTATTTTTCGTATTGGTATCTCCTGAGAGTAAGCTAAAATAATTCACAAAAAAAGTATACATATTTAATGTTTATGTAATATTTCTCTCTCGTTAAACTTTAATGTAATAAACATATTTCTTTAATAACCACAATTTTGATTATTTAAAATTGAGAGAACTTTTTAACAAATTCCTAAATAATTTTAAGAACATTTAAAATAAATATATCTACGTATAAAGTATGTGCCAAATGTAGTATGCAAGTATCATTCATTAGCATTACGGTACTATCATAGTTAGGATAACTTTATAACAACTGTACGAGTATTTCAACTTAATGATGTATCAGAAACCGAATATGAGCATATAGTTTACAAAGTAATAAGCTGGTATGTAGTATAAATAATGATTACTATTTTAGGTATTACATATGTACCTATTTAGTATTATATTCAATTATTTTTCGTATACGCAACAGTAGCTAATGCACATATATTTTCAATTATCTTTCTAAAAGCACGTCTATAGTATTTTGCTGAGCTCCTTCGAAGATAAAGACATTTTCCGCCCTTAACTCTGGAACTCTCAAGTTAGCGGGATAAACCCTTTCCTCAATTTAGGGTTATCCCGGTCACGGCCACAAAAGAAATCCTAAAAATTAGAATTTATTTATACCTTTACCTTCATGATATCGATTACTTTTTAGGGTAAAATAGTACTGAAACTATATAACAGCGTGTATTTGTTTGGGCATTTATCTGAACACAGTATCATAACTTTGCAGTTTCTAATTAGAACTTTACAGTTTCGCAGTTTATAACATATTAAACTAAATACCGTTGAAAATCATCTTAAATGCAGTTGTAATCTTTACCTACTAATATTGTAATAATAAGTTAATTATTTTTTTAGTCCATCAATATATTGTGATAATGCAGTTGAAGTCACGGACGGAAAACTGGTGTTATATAAATAACTTTCAATAAGGGCCATCTTCCTTCTAATTGACCAAAATATTACCTGATGGACATGAGTGTAATTAATCTGAACGGTCGTTTGGAATTTCCAAAAGGAGTTTCAATTTGTTTCTATATTTTTTGGTTAGTATATATAATTATATAATATATAATTTTAAGCCGATTTTGATTATTAAAAGATTACTCGCACGAATTATCGTAGTCGATAGCTTTAACTCCAGTTTTAATTATCACATTTAATTCCAATTTAAAATTGAAATAAAAATCTAATCAAATAATATCTCAAAAATTGATTAGGATGAACAAAGGTATATGTATATTATAGATTTATATTTTGATAACGTTAAACAAGTAACGTGATAAGCAAAAAAGCGCCTAAATGAGAACATGGGTGCTATTTTACTGAGGATGTTTCATGAAAGCGAATCTTGCTACTACTGATCGAAGTAAAAAAGGCTGTATTTTTGATACAACCTATCAAAAATTCGTGGAGCACGGTAATGGTATGCGCACTTATTGTGACAAGGCATCGTTTAACCGAAACATAAGGACGGCGTGGCACAGCTTACGATGGCGATAAGGCACGAGCCCCTTCTACCGGGAGATTGCTTTTTATCCAGGAGTTTCGACCTCGTCCGAACTTACATTATATCCTGCCCCGGCCAGAGTTTATCCTTAAAGCTCTTTATGAATATATATATATATATATATATATATATATATATATATATATATATATATATATATATATATATATATATATATATATATATATATATATATATATATATATATATTTCTTGCGAGCGTATATTTGTAGTTGGTAGGCTTAAACTAAAATTAAGGAAATAATAGTAATTAAGCGTTAGACCGCAGCTATTGGTTCCTTTAATGTTTGTGTTATAACATGTATATTGTGTATTAAATATAACGTTTACATAGTTATGTAATCTTATTCTGTTTGAACTTATGAATATACAATTTCATAACATTATTATTTCAACAATATTTGATTTATTTAATATTGCGTTATATAATAACGCAATAATAATTTGAATGAACGTGAATTTAAATTTTGTGCAATTTATCGGTGTTATATATAATACAGGTAAATAAAAGTACGGCCTATTCACACATTAAGGTTTGCCGATGTCTAAAAATATTTCGTGGTAATATTTTTAAAGCACTAAATATAGATCTACGAATTCTTGAAACGTAGTAGCACGCTACGTCGTAGCGTGTAGCGTCGTAGCACACGCCGCACCACGTCGCACCGGGTGGAGCTACGTGATGCGTTGTTATAATGAATCAGCAAATTCGCCTTGTTTTGTGACACCGGATGATAATATTTTTTTGCACTCAACAAGCTTTCATTAATCACATATGTGCCAGCTACACAATGGCATTGTTTGCAAGTACGCATTCAGAATACTTACTCGCTAATCGAATATCATGGGCGTTATTACATTGTTCAAGACGAGTAGATAATATTAATTTATATATTTTCTAGAAATTATTATTAAAACGCTGAAATGAAAGTGTTATATATTGAGGATTGATAAAAATGAAAAAGTCCTAAACCACTGCATGGCCTGCATACAATTTTTTACTATATCATGACATGTGACCATACCATCTTGAGCGAATACAGGGACAATATAACCCATAAATGCGATCAATCGAAAAGAGAATGTTCTATTCTCAACAATTGGCCGCACTATGCCGGCTCACTAAGTGCTTTTTCACGCTACGTTTGAAAGATCCGAGGTTATAGGACGAAGGAAACATGTCACAGGAAAGACCATTTCACAATGTTACGGTACGGTTCACGTAAGAGTTCGCAAACTTATTTATACGCGACTTTATATTTCTATCAAATGTCTTACAGGAGACTTATGATCAGTGACTGATGATAGTTCTACGATAGAT